AAATTTAGAAAGTGTGGCCTATTGAACGTTTGTTGATCTATACCTCATGCAAATGTCTAGAAATGTAAGAAAATAAGCATAAACTATGGAAACTAATGAAAATATAGAAGAAAAATAAACAAATCTGGTGATATGCAAATGTTCAACTGTGTCAACTTCTGTGGACACTAGAACTGGATACCGTATTCGATATAATAAGCACCCACGGCAATATTGCTGATATATTGGCTAGTGAACAATCCAAATTAGCACCCCTTCCAATTGATCAATGTACACATGACTTATATAATTGCGTATAATAGGCATTCATGTGTAATATGCACCCTTAATTATGGGCAATTAAATTCTGAAAACATATATCTGTCGTATATAAACATTTCAGGCTGTCAGCATAAACCACAAAATTTATCTTTCAACTCTGTTTTTTTCACCAAAATAATATTCTAATAAGGGCCAACTATTTCTAATATTGAGAGCGCTCTGGGCACTTATTACATGGAATACGGTAATTAATAAAGTATCTAGATGCACCACCACCCAGACAGTGATAACATGTAGAAATGTCTGGAGTGAATAGAATAGAATTAAAACCTACAATTGGAATGACATAACAAAGGACAAAAGTTAATATCAGAAAACACATTACTAACTATTTCTAAATATGTAATCAATATTTCAAAATTAATGCTGGGCTCTAACCCATGGTTAGTAAAATATGCAAAGATCTGTGGAAATTTAAAATCAACAATTCAAGTCAGATCTGCCACAGTACAGGATAGTTTTGTTTACCAATTATACAACAGAAAAATGTGGGAGGTAGGTTGTAATAAAAAAATACATAATGCTTTCAAAACCATTTTTCTGGGCTTTGAGATTTAATTGCATTGAACAGATGAAATAAACAAAAACTGTGGTCTTTGTGGTACCGGTATATTAAAAAATAACTTGGACACCAGAGTTTTAGACTCCTGTGGAAGAACAATCCGATAAAGATATGGACTTAAATTCACATTTGATTAAACTGCTTTGGACTAGACATATACACTGGTGTATATATATAACACCTCACTAACGCTGTGCCATGGAATGAAAGACAGTTTAACCCACTCCTCCAACAGGGAGATATATAAAAACACTACACATCATGTGAGGCCATAATATATTAATTACTACATGTTCGTCTATAAGGAATATTGTTTTTCAGTCATTAGTTACAAGTTTCTTCAGTCTGGCTGTTCTACTCCTGATCAAGCTACCTTGTAGATTAAAGTTCAACACTGTTATTAACAACATTTCAGTTAAAACATCACAGTTTTTGAGTTATATCATGGCTTGTCAACTGAAGAAGCAGGAAAACCTGATTTGACACAGGTTGTGGATGTTTAGCACATTGGTGAAACCAGTCCTAGACATTCAGGGTTTTTTAAGACCAGTCCAGGAGATTAGACTGAGTGAGAATGGTTTTATGCCGGTTTTAGCAATATTCCAGCAATATCACAGCCTGGGAACACCAGAAATGGGCTTCACACACTGTATCAATGTCAGGAATTGAACCCGGGTCTTCGGCATGACGAGCGAGGGCTTTAACCACAAGGCTACCCGGTCGCCCCCAGTTGGCTAGTGTACACCTTATTTCACAAGTGTTCAAGAGTTTGTAGCTAGTCCTGCTTGAACAAAACAAAAATGTTTACTTTGTTAACATTTTCTGAGTTTTATTCAGTTTCAATTTGTAGCAAAATTGACGCATTGAGAGCTGGTTCAGAATAAGAGCTCTCAAAAGCTATGAGTCAATGATGACTACCATTATTGGATTTTACTTGTCCTGCTGATTAACGTGAATTTCAACGGCTGTGAAGCCAACAAACACTGGTGTGTGATGATCACAAGCTAAGGATCATCATAGGAGGAATTGGGAGCTTAAATCCAACAACCAGCTGATCTTGACATGGATAAGGGACACAACTCTGCACAGTAAATTGCAGCACGTAAGTCCACTTGACATCCAGAGCCACTACCGATGAGTGAGTGAGTGAGTGAGTATGGTTTTACACCGCTTTTAGCAATATTCCAGCAATATCACGTCGGGGGACACCACAAATGGGCTTCACACGTTGTACCCATGTTGGGAATCAAACCTGGGTCTTCGGGTGACGAGCGAACGCATTAACCACCAGGCTACCTGACCGCCCCTCAAATACTGATGGATGGCTGACATTGCTGATATAAGTAAGTGTGGTAGAGAATTTGAAATGAGAGAGATCAAAATCGTCTTTCAAATGTTACTTCTTGTAAAGATTTCCTAGGTCAAATGGAAAAGAACTTTGACTTTGTTGAATTAGAACATTAGATTTCAGCTCGATTATTTGAAGCAAGTCTGATAAGTGAAAGGTTATTTGTTTTATTTTCCAACCCAACATTTTGATCATGTTGAAACAAAACTACTTGACAACAATGATGGTTGAAATAAACATAAACTGATAAACATCATCTGGTCATTTGCAAACATACAGAACAGGTGCAGCCATTAAACAATAAAAATAGTGCTGCCTAATTAATATATTATGGCCTTGATGTCACACGTGGAAGACAACACAACCTGTAGGCTGTATACCTGATCACTGAACTCAGGCATATTCTGTGACCCCAAGGAGGCGCCAGCTCTAGAGTTCCCATAAGAAATCCTGGCTTCCCCTCAGTAGAATTAAACATGGTGCAACTGCCGGTTCGTCTGAACCTCCCTCCAAATCAGGAAAGAGAAGCCTTGGACTATTCAAACTTGACAGCATCACAAGCATTTTCTCTTTCATATATCAAAACAAACACTAATTCTAACACTGGTAGTCCTTATCACGCTTACCAGTATCCATATGTAGATATCATGATGATATGATGGTTATAAAAGAAAATCTATCACTGGTCAAATGTAAATTAGTCGGCTTTATTAGACAATTAGCACAATAAAACAAAAAACAAGGATCTTTAGTGTGAATACTGTATTCGACATAATAAGCGCCCAGGGCGCTCTCAAAATTAGAAATAGGGGGCTCTTATTAGAATATAATTTTGGTGAAAGAGTTGAAAGATCGTTAATTTCGTGGTTTCTGCCGACAGCCTGAAATGATACAAAAGAAAAGTCTGTGCGTAATATAGATGACAGATACATCTTTCAAGTATTTAATTGCATGTAATTTAGGCTGCATATAACACATGAGTGCGTATTATACACGAATATATAAGTCTTGTGCACACTGATCAGTTGGAAGGGTGCTAAATGGGATAACCACTAGCAAATATATCAGAAAATATCCCTGTGGTCGCTTATTATGTCGAATACAGTATTTTGTTTCATACTAATTAAACCTCAGTTGACAAAATTATCTGCACTTGAGAGTTCATATCTCTGAAATTGTCCATGCCCTTAGACATGTAGATCCACAACCCACGAAATATATAATTTGTTGATATCTTAAATCATAAATCAATGAAAGAATCAAAAGTTTATCATCTACTACCAACAGGACAGTTATGATCATGATGGTAGAAAAAAAAAACAAGTATGGCACTCTTTCTATCCTTCCTGTAAACACTCCCTGGTAATGACAATGAACATGAGTGAGATGCTATTTCCTGCACAACAAATAACTGGCACTTGCAAAAGCTCATGACAGTCAAGCACTTTTCTGCAACTCTGATACGAACAATGAGACAAAATTATGAAAATATTGCAGAAAAAATATGAAAACCCTCAAAGCTGCAAGAACAATCAGGACCAAGCAGCATCCGTGTGAGACACATTGACTTGGGACCAGTATTGCAACACTATCACATGCAAAGTACTTCAACATATTAGAGGGAGTGTCTGTGGTGACTTGATAAAATATACATCTGACCCTGTCTAAAAGGAACTCTCTGATAGAGTTAATATAGCCTTGGTACTACAATACATCCGTTCGTGAGTTTGAAAGCTGCATGTGCCTTTGCCACAGCTAAAATGATTCAACACAGAAACAGATGTATTTAATACTAATTCCAGAGTGGTCAAATTATTTATCATTATCATTAAGTACATTACAGCAATACTTTATTGGGGCTTATTCAACAAAACACTCTTAGCCCTACGACCCTCGGAAGTGGTGGTTAATGCCTGAAGTTGTGCCTGTCGAAGAGCAGAGATTGCCCCACTGAATGCCTACATGCTGTAGGTACCTAGGTATTGTATATAAACTGTAGTTATCTGGGACAACCAATGGCATGGTGAAAATATACACCTATTTTCTTTGAGATACATGACAATATCCTAGAAACAGGTGCTTAGTGTGGTTTTAACAAGATGATTGCTTGGGGTTTTACTGGACACAAAACATTGCTCCCAATATGCATTCAAATGGTGAATGGACAAAAATAATATACATTGCGAGTCCTTAGCATGCTTAGGGATGTAAAAAAGTTTGAGTTAAACAAAATTGTAGATTGCACTTCCATTTTGCTAAGAAATCCACTTATCGTTCAGTGTGTCAGTGCCATGTAGATTTTCTTAAATATAACATTGAAATCCCCATCAATAGAAAGGTACAGGCTTCGCTTCATGTGTACGGAAAGACATGATGAAACTTCTAAGAAATCAATTGCCACCAGACAGCCCGGCACTGTGATGTTCATGCCCTGGACACCCAAAATTATAACGGAGAGTCACATGGATTTGAAATAACACAGCCCAGTTAATGCCTGATTTCAAAACACATTGCAGTTGTACATACAAATTAACATCAAAAAGAAAAAAGGTGGGCAAGGAATCCACGTATTAACTTTGTTTTCTCAATACTGCATTCAACCACAATTCTGCAATGTCCACAACTGCAGTGAGATATTTGTCGGTGGTATATGCTGACATGCCATAAAGTTGACAGTCCATCAGTGACGCAGAGACAACACCAGTCACTATATCAATATTTCCAGAGGTTGACATATAATAAGCAATGATGGCCACTAGCAACTGAATATTAAACAATATTGAAAATATTTAACTATATGATATGCATGACAAAGATATTGAAAAAATTCTTACAGTTTCAAATATATGGGGTGCTGTGCAATCTATGGCACTGTAGATTAGATCTACTTATGAATCACATTGAAATGTTAATGTATAATTTCTTGGTAGTAAATAATCAATCATCATAGCTAAAGGTATTTGTGGTGCAAATCAATTTACATTTAACGAAAAGTAAAAGCTAACCTGTCATCATGTTTATTTGCCTCTATGTGAATTTGAGCGTGTTGAGTCTATATTTCTCAGCAGTGTCACGTTCAACAGGTGATGACTAACTGAAAATATTCTGTTACATAACCTGTTGTGTTTCCCCTGAACACAAAAACATACCAGCAGGCTTCATGGACATCCATCACAACATCAAGACAACGATGCTACAGGTTTCAGGCCAGTCACCAGTCAACACAGTAAACATGGACAGTCCATCTTCCATATGTACAGATTACAATCTCCTCAAAGGTGATACGGAAGTGGGTCACAAATGTGCAAATCATGCAACAATGCAAACTTTGAACCAATGCTTGCTCCCCTTCCGTCTGAATCCAATCGTCCGTCCTTGCATGTAGCGGTAGTAACAACGAATAACGACCCGCTGAATCAATGAACCTAACGCAACCCAGTTGTGTAGGTAACAAACATGGATACTTCATTCTTCCATAAGTAACAATATCTCCACACTGAAATGTTAGGAGTTTACCGTCTCAGACACAAGGTACACATCCTATCGAAAACATCAACAGTTACGGTATTCCATATCCTTCATGGACATCACAACAGAATGCCAACAAACCATTAACATACACCAGTTATTCCACAGGCTTTAGAGCAATCTGCAGTATAAGATGATCGTCAACAAGCAGGGGCGAGTCGGGCTGACACAGATCAGCAACTGTCACCTTCTTGTCCATCTCGGTGTCTGTGGTGTAGCGAGCCTTGGAAAAGTTCTTCTTCCCGGACACAGTATGGAGGATCTGATCCCGATCCACTATGGACAAGTAGTACTCGATCGGACGAGGCTGGTCTAGAATCAGATTGGAGTACAGCACAACTCGGAAGTCCTCGCACTGGGCTGAGTAACCTTTTGGGTGGACCTTCAGCTCCCATTCCCATGTCTGAGCTGGGAAGGAAGAAGCTCGGGTTGAGAATCGGAAACCCACTTCCGTGCCTTTGGGACAGGCGGAGTAATGGGAGACCTGAAGACGTTTGTCCCATCGGAGATCTGTGTAGTTCCGTAGCAGGAAACTGGAGCTCATGAATTCCTTGACGTTGGCTCGCTTTGTGAGAGGCAGGGCATGGAACTTGTAAGCCAGCATGAAGGCTTTCTGGAACAGCTCTGGGTGTTGCTGGTACAGGCTACTGGACTCTACCTCACATAGCTGTTCTGAAGTCATCATTGGGAAGCGGATGTACTCCATCACTTCAGTGAGATTACTAACCTTGGCCATGCGTTGTGGGTGGGCTTGGGACTGGATCCATTTCACGGTTGCCTCCCACAGCTCAAACTCATCCTTGGCGCTGAGATCAGAGCTTCGGAGGAACTCTATGAGCTGGTCCTTCTCAAGGTTGAGCCACTCGGCTTCCCACTCCTCCGAGCCAATAATCTCGTCCATCTTCTCGGCCAGTGCCTGGACGCATGCAGTGACGAGGCGCTGGTGGTAGCACTTAGTGGAGTATTGGAACCACACATGGAACACATCCTTTAGCTGCAGCTTGGGGATGATGTAGGATACTGCGAATGTGATACACACATCTCTGAGGTCTTCCACGTTGTATTTGTCGGCAAGGATGAGCACAGGGAGAGTGTTGTCGATGTTGAGCTTAATATGGCAGCCATAGAGAAACTTAAGAAACCTAGCGAACACAGTGTTACATATACTGTCCTCAACTAACTCCACATCCTGAAATATTATTGAAACAATCATTAAATAAAGCAATCATGCAGGCATATAACATTTGACTCAAGTTATTTATTGCATATTTTTAATATTAGAATTTGATCATTATTGTTGCATATCTACAAATGTTCAGGTGAGCTGTTGAGTCATATGTCTCTTATCGTTATATCAAGCTGTGCATATGGAATGACAAAGAGAAATGCTTTGAAGACATGCTTAAAGGTCAGCCAGGTTATTTGTTTTGAGTTATTGTTACTTTTAGGAATATTCCAGCAATATCACAGCAAGGAACACCTGAAATAGGCTTCACACATTGTACCAATGGGGATAGAACCCAGGCCTTCGGCACTAGCAAACGCTTTCACCACTAGCCCAACCTACTGTCCCAAAGCTGCTTTGAATAGTATTTCAGTTAATTTGTGAGCATCTCATCTTAATCATGTTAATGTGGGAGGAAAGTCTAAGTAATCATGGTAACATTGAAGTTATGTGTTTACGTTTTTGATGAAGAACAGTTATGGACCTGACAAACCAAGTATTCCAAGGGAATCTAGGATTTGAACTCAGGAACATAGAGTTCAGGTATGACAGATGGTTACAACAATGATGATTAGGAATTCTTACAGCTGAGGATTCAATATTGTCAAACATGTAAATTTAAAAAATGAACTAAACTCTTGAGGCCCTCATTTAAAAAAATGCAGCTTATTGCAACAAATAAATAGACAAATAAATTTACCGCAGGCCATAAGGACCCATCCAACTTTGAAAATAAGAGCCAGACATGAGATTTACCTGTCACGGACCCAGGGGCAGGTGCTTATTTCGAGCGCTGGCCTACAGTCTGGTAAATCAATGACCATGCCACCCAGAATTAACCCAAATTGAATCAGGCGAGTTAAGAATCCAATTGTCAAATAAAGAGTACCAGTACCAACCTTCTTTCCGGAACTGGACCACTCAGAACTAAACATCCTCTCGAAGACATCGCTGGCTCTGACGAGGACTATCTTGTGAGCATAGTATCTCTGTCCCCCAACTACCAAATTCACATCACTTAACAAGGAGTTGTTGAAGAACTTGCTCTGTTCTGCAAGAGCCTGTCTCTCATTGCCATAGCAATCAATGCCCTCTGGACTTTTCAGCGCCAGCGAAATGGAGGTAGGAGACAGCGCCATGGATTGTGTGTTGGGGGTGAAGGTCACCCGGGCGGAAGATGAGCGTGTGTTGTCGGTGGCGGCATCTGTTGGGGCATCAAACGGAAGATTCTGTAGGTTCGGGGGAGAAGCCATGGATCTTCTCCTGCTGAATAAAAGATGCAAATCTTTAGTCATCCCAAAAGCAAGAAATCACATATTGGATGTGTTTACAGTACAAACCTTTCAAAACTCAAGGGGACCTTAACCTGAAGTCTGGTCAGTCTACAAATGAAAGTAACTCTGCACTGTCGCATTGGGATGTCCTCAGATCTTTGTTTTGCGGTAACTTCTGTATCTATTTGTAATAAGGAATTCCCATGTGTTTCCCCAGGAAAGTGGAAGTAGTCCTTCATTATTTATGTCATTTCAAGAATACAGTCCCCTGAAAGACACGGATCCCAGAGTGTGTCATCCATACGCTTATGATCGTCAGTTTCACAGTCATCACAGTGACTGGTCCCTCATCCAATGGAAAACCTGTATATCGCGTAAACTTCATATGAAAAAATCGTATTGTATATCCCTAAATTAATATTTTGATATTAATATCAAGCTGCCCTACATTTTGGATCATTATAAAGTGTAAATAATTATTACAATAACTTCTTTGATAGGCATTTAGAAGTTGGAGTACTAAGGATAAGATTTTATGGATTAACAACTTCTTTATTACAATTAAGAGTGCCGTTTTGGTGTAGGTTCACTTGCTTGATAACGGTGTTAGAACCTTCACCGAAACCGTCCTCTTAATTGTAATAAAGAAGTTGTTCATACATAAATTCTTATCCTTAATTATTACAATGACTGAAATACTTCTACCACTAAAGTGACACATTGGAATAAAAAATAAATATCATATTTCAAGCAATGAAATAGATCAACACACAGTCTGCTCTCTTTTCCGTTCTGACTTCTAAATGGTATTACCTCAAATGTTAATAATGTCAGTATTTCAAACATGAACACAATCAATGCAAAAAAGAATAAGCTGGCAAAAACATCAACAATCGAATACCAAAATGTTAATGCCAAAAACTGTACAAAACAAATCTCACCCATAGCCAAGTTGGCAGGAACTAGCAGATAGCCATGTCCCTGACTAAATGCAACCCTACAGCACAGAATATCTGTCGTGTTTGTTAGGCTGGTGGCCATTGGTGTACAGGTGGAAATCTAGTGGATTTCATTACATAAACACAGTAGAGACCACACCTGAAGCAAGGTATGGGCTGAATGTCAAGTAAATACACATTGAATGGGATGTGACATTATAGAGAGCGTCCACCAGTTGAGAGTACAATGCTAGACTGGACACGCCCACCCAGGACGACTTTGTCAACAGGGGCAAACAGTGTCTGTCTGTAAAGGGGAGACACCAAGGTGATAGTCAAACAGGATCTGTTTCTTCATATCACGCACACATTAAAAATATGTCAATAAAATAATCAAGTCCCTGTCACTGGACTTGGTTGATAGCTATTTAAATTCTATCACTGTTCATTGCAGATGAAATATCAACTGGACATGTCTAAGTATTGTTTTGTCTGTTTTATAATCAGAAAGGAAACTGCTCAACGAAAATTTCACTATGAAAATATTTCACTGTCAGCATTGTCTAGACAATTATACCCAAAAATCTAAATTAGGTTTTACTTTTGATAACTACACTAAAATCTTATCAACCCCTGTAAATTACAGACTTTTATTTTAACTACTTGCAGTTAGACATTACTGAAGTCTCACATATCGATCTGTCTGCACCTCAGGGTAATGAAATTGCACTTGCAGTAAACGCCACTGTCACTGGATAGATCTAAAATTAGATTCCCTAATAACTGAACAACAATAGACATTTCTGGATGCTTGGTTGTGTCGTCCATTCCAAAATTGGCTCAGCTTTATTACATGAAACTTAGCTGTCGTCGTTATACCTACCAGTGTGAGTCCTACTTGCAGACAAAACGATTCGTGTGACAATATAGCAGGAGCATTTTCTTTCACACCAGACACCAACGAGTCTCAATCTTTGTTTACATCGCTTCCGGATATATTGACTACGCATGCGCGGATATCAGCTGGTTTTGACGTAAACATTTCATTGATAAATTTGTCACGCGCATCGAAGGGGTGAAAATGAAAGACACCCAGCCGGGAATTTAAATTTGCGTCTATCTAACGACGCTTAGGCAATAAAGAAACTTTAAAGAGGCCAAGCCATAATTTTGGCTAGATCTATTTAAAAGCTGCTTCACATCAGTGAAATCGAAGCGAATTGAAATATTTGAATTCAGAGTTATTTAGACATTGTTTTTGAGCTACAACAGCCGCGACAGTGACGAGTATGCTAATCTGTGTCTGACGATGATATTGATGATGACCGCATCATCCCGAAAGAAAATATTTATTTGTAAGTACTTCTTTCGCAAATCATATTGGTAGGGTTATATCAAATTATATGATCTTCGAAATACCGAACACTTGCTATTTAGCCTAGAAAAGATTTGGGTGGTTGGTTTGTTGTTTAACGCCGCACTCAGCAATATTCCAGCTATATGACTGCGGTTTGTAAATAATCGAGTCTGCACCAGACGATCCAGTGATTAATATCACGAGCGTCGGTCCACACAATTGGGACCGATGACATGTACATCAACCAATTCAGCCAGCCTGACCACCCGATCCCGTTACTCGCCTCCTACGACAAGCATAGTCGCCGTTTACGGCAGGCATCGGTTGCTGAAGACCTATTCTACCCCGGATCTTCACGGGTCCCTAGAATAGCTAGTTGCTGAGATAATATACCTAGAATAAGTATTTGCTAAGATTATATTTATTGCAGAAAACGTTTCATTACGGAACAAATGCAATATTTATATGTCAAAACATTTTGGTTCTACATTCTCCCCTGGCTCTGAACCTCCGATCTCACTGAGCCGGAACGGCTGCTTATAGTTATTTTATTGTTTCTATCAAAATGATATATGTTGAGATACTATAAGCATGGGTTTATGAAAGCTGCATCAGTGCTTGTTTCCAACTGGCAGAAGTCTGGTGGCCGACTGCCTAAGTCGGGTGCCATCATTACCACGTCCGAATGTATCATACTATATATTACCTTTATATGTATATATATCTTTCATTGCGCTTATGTAGAGTATGAAAATAAGAAAAATTTTACAGACAGCTGCTTAATTGTTTGTAACCACGTATCATGGCTGCATTTCTACCACGCCCATAGTGACACTAGAGATGGACCTGGTCATCCATTAAAAGGTTCTTATTTTCTTTTTTTACCAACACAAAATTGCATATGATCGACTTTTAAAGTGCGCTGAGGTTAAGAATTCTATAGGTGAAAAATATATCCTGGACCGCATTTGTACTTATATGCTTTTACTTATTAATTGCCTTACATAGAAATATTAACGTTTGAAGTTATGTTAAATAAACCTATAAACGTCCACCTACCATCCTCTGTTTCGCCATGCTGTTTCCATGATGATTCGTTATGGATTCTGATTGAACCACTCAAACTCGTCTCCTCTCACAACAATGTCCTCACATACATTTGACTGAACATGATGACCTCAGTTTTATCAGATCCCAAGAGACACCCCTCCCCTCCTGAAATACATGTGCATGTGCTAATTACTTTATTCTACCATGTGTTTCTCATCCCCATCCCCAACCCTCCTCCCTGCCTCCCCCTCCCTACGCATATCGAGTTCCGAGCGTTCGCTGTCATTTTAACACATTTGCGAATCCACATCGCCTACATTTATCGGTAACGGTCCGTGATGTTAATTGTCAACACCTACATATGTTGTTTTATGGCCTATTTCCGTACATAGTTATGCAATATTAAGAATAATCCGCAATGGACACGTGCAGACTATTTATATTGGAGAGGTTTGATTGAAGTGTAGACTGCGAGGAAAGCACGTGGGTGGCGACATGCACGGGAGGGGGTGGGGTACACAGGACATGTGTCTCCACATCTGGTAGGGTTGACTCTTTGTGGAGACAGGGATGCATACGTTACTCCAAGTCTGTCTTATAGTCCCCGAACATTATATTTTCCTTTCCGCCCAGGCCTTACCGTAATGTCTAGAGCCCTAAACGAAGCAAGTTCAGATCTCCCACAGGTTCTGAATCTCCCATCTGACGGGGGCTCCTTTTCAATTCAAATGTACTTGCTTGATTTTTCGAAATTTTCTTTTTTTTAGAGACTCAGCATTAATTTAACGTTACTCTTTGTATATTTGCTTTTTGCATGAATATACACATATCCTGTGAAGACACATTTTATAAATGGCAACATTATGTTAAACAAATTAACTAGAATAAAAGTATAAAAGAATCATATTAATTAACAAAGTCAAAACGAGATAAACACAGGAGTGGGTTCGGACCTGGAACGTTAGTCCCGAGTCCATACAGCCTACAAACATTGAAACGACATACCACATACAAACAATACCAAACATATAATGAACTAATATAATATATAGCATAAAAACAGTGATACCACACATAGCATATATATTAACTAATAACATATATACAGCATGTAATCATTGATACCATATATGGCATATAATCAACTAAATACCAAATAAAGCCTATAAACAACTCATGTCATAATTATACAAACAACTAATACCATATATAGTTAGTTTGTTGTTTAATGCCGCACTCAGCAATATTCCAACTATATGACGTCGGTCTGTAAATAATCGAGTCTGGACCAGACAATCCAGTGATTGACATAACCAAGTCAGCGAGTCTGACCACCCGATCCCGCTAGTCGCTCTTACGACACGCATAGTCGCCTTTTAATACCACATATGACTTATAAACAACTTATATATATGATAATTGTTGTGTATAGCCTGTATGTAGTATCAGTTGTTAACATGATATCAGTTGTTTATAGGCTATATGTGTTATTAGTTTTGTATATGCTATTTGTGATATCAGTTCTTCGTAACGTATGTATGTTGTGGTATCACTTGTTTATAGGCTATAAATGGTACCACTAAAAACTGTTGTGTATAGGATACATGTGGTATCACGTTTTGTAGGCTATATATGACGGTATCTTGCACTGTCAGTACAGCACTCACGACACGTATGCGCAACAATAGAAAACTACTTAAGCATGCGGTGTCATCCGTCGGGTCACGTGAAAATGCTCACATAATATTGATTTCAAGTACAGAATACATCGATTTAGACCAAGGATATTAGCATTTAAACATTGACACAACATAAAGCATATAAACAGCTAACAGCACATGTAGACTGTAAATAACTTATACCACAAATGAACAAGAAATGTGATACATATCATCACTGATTTAAGAACCCGTGAAGATCCAGGGTAGAATAGGTCTTCAGCAACCCATGCTTGCCGTAAACGGCAACTCTGCTTGTCGTAAGGTGTGACTAACGGGATCGGGTGGTCAGGCTCGCTGACTTGGTTGATGCATGTCATCGTATCCCAATTGCGTGGATCGACGCTCATGATGTCAATCACTGGATTGATTGGTCCAGACTCGAAAATTACAGACCGCCGTCATATAGCTGGCATCTTGCTGAGTGCGGCGTTAACAATAAACAAACAAACAACACTGATTTAAGAAATAAACGACTCGTGAGATATCATGTACAGCCTCCTTTTGGATAAAATGTACAAACTTTGAAAATATTACCTTATTTAAACAATAATGATCCCTGTATACAATCCGATCTCGGAAATATCGGACAAGTCCATTTTATGAACAAGGGGGTTAGTTTGGTATTTTTCGGATATTCTCATAATATTCACGTCGATAATCTGTACCCTTTTTCCTAATACTTATTGTCATATTTCTCCCACTTTTGGATGAGATCGTTCGGCCATTGCGTTTATCTGTGTTGCCCAATTACATCTTTGGGGAACAACTTGCTAAACACTTCCCTCACAAAAATAATGTCGTCCAATTTACGACGTCATCAAGTTGCGAGCGCATTTTCGAATCTCCAGAAATGACGTCATGATAGAACAATGTTTTATCGTGAAATACACCACACTTCGTTCTTCATTATTTTTTGCGATTTATCGCTTAGCTATCTTTTATTTACAAATATCAACGTCATAGAACGTTAGAATAGGATGAGGTAACAAAGAAGAAACGTGACGCCAATGACGCCACTTAGCATTAGAATAAATATAGCAGCCCGTCGTCAGGGAAAAGCGGACTGCTATCAGGTTACAGTGGCCCGCAGATTTGTGATAACATGCGGGCATTTTAATGATAATGCTATCCATTTTGATACAATATTTGTTTAAACGTTCCCATTTAGTGCATTATATATATTCCATTGTTAACGTTGTACAACGTGTTTACATTAAAGCGTTGTATCGGAAACGTAGAATCAAGAATCATGAATTTTTATTGTACAGAACACCCTCGTAGGGCAGGGTACAAACTATCTACATATGGACATAAATATAACTATAGACATGAGAGGTAGATATACACAAAGTACATTATATATAGAGGTATTACATGTTATTTTCATTTACAGTATATAAACATTTATGTACATCATGAGGTGGCTGGCAGCGTGCACTTAATGGTAACACTGTATTGATAGACTAGATTTTCTTCTTTTTTTTTTCTTTCTTTTTTTTATCGTACAAAAAAACCCACTTGGGACCTGGTACAAAAATAGAGCATTAATATGGCACAGAGATGAGAACATGGTATATATATACACAGCATACGTGCATGAATTTATCTTATCTAATTAGGGCCCTTATGTTGGTCTCAGCTTCAACATGCGAAATACAGTCCTGGCAACAAGACTTGAACAGTCTTTTGGAGCGTTCTTAAATTGTTTTAGGAACTTGGTTTTATCAGTCTGGGAAGGGTCGCCTATTTCTGTCAGTGTGATGAGATTTCTCCCGAGGTCTGTACACAGTGGGCATGAGAGCAGGAAGTGTTCCT